TGTGTGTGTGTGTGTGTGTGTGTGTGTGTGTGTGTGTGTGTGTGTGTGTGTGTGTGTGTGTGTGTGTGTGTGTGTGTGTGTGTGTGTGTGTGTGTGTGTGTGTGTGTGTGTGTGTGTGCGTGTGTGTGTGTGTCATGTGTGTGTGTGTGTGTGTGTGTGTGTGTGTGTGTGAGTGTGTGTGTGTGTGTGTGTGTGTGTGTGTGTGTGTGTGTGTGTGTGTGTGTGTGTGTGTGTGTGTGTGTGTGTGTGTGTGTGTGTGTGTGTGTGTGTGTGTGTGTGTGTGTGTGTGTGTGTGTGTGTGTGTGTGTGTGTGTGTGTGTGTGTGTGTGTGTGTGTGTGTGTGTGTGTGTGTGTGTGTGTGTGTGTGTGTGTGTGTGTGTGTGTGTGTGTGTGTGTGTGTGTGTGTGTGTGTGTGTGTGTGTGTGTGTGTGTGTGTGTGTGTGTGTGTGTGTGTGTGTGTGTGTGTGTGTGTGTGTGTGTGTGTGTGTGTGTGTGTGTGTGTGTGTGTGTGTGTGTGTGTGTGTGTGTGTGTGTGTGTGTGTGTGTGTGTGTGTGTGTGTGTGTGTGTGTGTGTGTGTGTGTGTGTGTGTGTGTGTGTGTGTGTGTGTGTGTGTGTGTGTGTGTGTGTGTGTGTGTGTGTGTGTGTGTGTGTGTGTGTGTGTGTGTGTGTGTGTGTGTGTGTGTGTGTGTTTGTTTGGGGGTCCCCTTCAGGGAGGTGCGAGTCCTAATACATCTGACAACTCAACCCGCTTGATTACTGGAATATACCCCTCCCCTGGTTGGCCGGCAACAAAGAGTTTTAGAGGGGATCCGAATCACTTTGGAAACACCAAGAATCCGCCAGGTTGTTGCATTCCGCACGGTGAATCCCAAATCATCGGAATTTCCAGAAATGTGCCGTATTGCGGTAGGCGGGGAAAGGGGAACCTTTCCGAAACAGGCAAGCTGACAATTGGCGGCAACTGAGCCCATAACGTATGGGGACAGACCGTGACCCAAACAAAGCGAAAGAGGTGAGCTGAACAAGCAGCTTCATACCTTTCGAGAATAGACCAGATGTTGTACCACTCAAGTTCGCGAAATCGACAAAAAAGACCTTCCTCGATCTTGACCATGGCTTTACCATGCCTGGTTGGCCGAGTGCAGGAAGTGCCCCCAAACAACTTTGCAGAAAGATTGAACGCTGGGCAAAAAGAGATTAATTCGATGAAAGGACGAAAAACGTGTTTTTGGTCTAGTAACGATTGAGCCTCCCCCTCCCTCCACCCACCCCCCCTCTGGCGCAACCCAAAGGCCTCTCTCAGCTCATTGAACTCCAAGGGCTCTGAACCACCTCAGGTGGGAGTCCCTCGTTCGATTGGCACACCCTGAATTGGGATTGTTGGATTGGAAAGGTTCCAATCCAGTCAGCTTCCAATTAGATTGGGAATATTTGTTTCGCCATAAATTGATTTTTGGTGGATTGGACATTGGCCAACCCGCCAACCCTTGGACACGCAGATCTCAAGTTGCTCTTCCGGACCTTGGGAGGGTTGCTATTCCCGGTGGGAGGAAACCGGAAACCCATCCTGCACCTTCCGGGTCGGCCTGAAAGATAACAAAAGATATGTCTGGGGAGGGACAGAGTTGGCCTGGGATGGGCGGATCTCCCTACTTGCAGATACAGCTATAGGGGTCCAACAGTGTCCCCCATACCCCACAAATGCAGCTAATGCGTGAACCGCAAGCGCAATGGGCCCAAATTATATTCTTCAATGAGAACCACCAGTTGACAGTCGACTGTGAAAATCATGGTTACTATAACACTTGCGCTGTTCAACATGGAGGGTTGGCCACTCCTAAGCTGTCAAAAATGAGCAGCCCCTACCAAGAAAACCATCCTAAATAATATCCCAACAAAGGTCTGCTAAATTGCCTTTGAACAGCCTGGTGAAAAGACTTCCGGTATCCACCGTAGGTCAAAAGCATTTGGGTGTGTCTCTTAATAGGGGACCCCAAAAAATGGGGTGGTTCTCCGTTGGTGTCCTTCCAAAAACAAAACTGGGAACCTACAGAAAAGGGACAGCCAATTGACTTTGGGGCCGTTGGGCGGACTGGTGGGTAACGCCATCGAAACAAACAAATGCAGAACTTGTGGACACTGAGGGATGGACACTGAGACATGGATTGGGGGGTCTTCACCCCTCAGCAATCCATGGCAAGGCCCCCCAGTTGCATCCTCTTGAAAAGATAGATGGAATCCAAATGAGTCTCGAGTCAGCGGAATCCATGGTATTTTCAACCTGACCCTTTATGCCACACTCATGGGAAGACCCACTAGCAACCAAACACATCATGTTTCTTCTGCCGCATGGCGAGGTCATGCAGCCCTTGGTATGGCTGACGGACGAATGAACCACCGACATAGGTAATTGAGACCATCGCCACCCCGGGATTTGAAGACTATGAATCATGTGCCATAGTCGTTGGAGGTCGTTTGAGGAGTCGGCTTTGATAAAAAGGTCCGGGTTGTCAGTTGTGACAAACAGTTGCAGCCGCGGAAGATCTCGTGGAACCTCATTTTGGGAAATTCGAATTCACTGAGAAAATCCCTGTGCGCCCGGTATAAACCTATGGCAATCTTTGAAACGACCTTGATGATCTTCAACCTGGTGGATACGAGCCTAGAACTCAGAAAGAAGGCACATCGGAATGCACCGAAATGGGGTTCCCATCCCCACATCATCTTCAAACTAAATTTCAAAGAAACAAACTCCCGTGTCCAGCATGACCCCTTCTTCCATTTCCAGCCATGCGTTTGTTTTTTGTTTTTGTTGTGTTTCTGCTTTGTGATTTTTGTTTGTTGCTGTTGTTGTTGTTTTGCCTTTTCTTTCTTCTTTTCGGCGGTCTTTTGCTTTTTCCCCGTCGCTTCCAGCCGCTGCCAGCTGCCTGCGACGCTCGTAGAGCGCCATGGTCGCCACATGCGGCGCCATCGGCGAAGCGCCCGCAGCGGAGCGGAAGATCAAGGCCAGGCGCGGCGCGGCGAGCGGCTGGTCCTCTGCGGCTTCTTGTTGCGCTGGTCTGGGAAAGAGTTCCTGTTGTGTCTTTTTTTGTCCGCTGCGGCTGGTCCTCTGTTTAGGATTCTTTAAACAAAAAAGAAGGAACCAGCTGAGGAAAAGAAAGCCAGGAACTTCGGAAAAGAGAGAAATCATGGAAAGAAACAGACCTTCCCCTGTGTGATCCTATGAATTTGGCTTCTACGTAGGGTACCTGTTTTTTGGTGACGCTTATGGCACCAAGCCCCGGTCCCACAGCCGCGGCGGAAGCTCTCCGCCGCAGTCCACCGCTGTGAAGCCGCGGCCTTTCAGCGCTGCAAGCGCCTGGGCCAGATGAAAGGACCCCCAAAACAGGGGTTGAGGTCAATAAGAAGGTGTTTGTTTCCTTAGTTCCCTTTAAAACCAACCCCAGTGGAGGTTTAACAGGGATCCTTACATTGTACGCCTGAACATTGCAACTTGTAAATGGTGGCTTCGCTTTACTTTGGTGGAAAAAGCCATGTTTCAAATGAGCAAAATGTATCTTTTAAGGAGCCCTGCAAAACTGGTTGGTTTCCCAACCAAATGGGGGGGGTACCCTCAAAAAACGACACACCCAGGTTGGGGGGGACGGGGGTGGGGATAGTGCGTGTCTGCGCTAGCAATGTTGTGGAGTAGAAAGCCATGTATTTCAAAAGAGTCAGCATGGTATGAACCAAGGCGGCGTCTGTGTAAGCACCATGGGCTATCCATTCAGGTTTATCAAGCTCATTCACTGCCTGGCCTGGACAGTATTGCTTGTCAATGAGGAACTTTACTCCCCGCCAAGTTGGCAAGAAACCTCAAGAGGTGTTCTCCAACACAAGATTCCTGAAGACATCGGGCTTTGAGCAGATCACAAGCACTTTCTCCTGTGTCCTTCCTTTTTAATCTTCCGGCGAGCACGAGCTGAAGTCTGGAATGATGCATTCGCATATCATGCCATAGGTTTCTCCGTTGTTGCCGGTGCTGCCTCACTGATGTTGACCCATAGGTTGATTGTCGTTTCACAAAACAGCTTTCAAGATTGGGTTGAATTTAAGGTTGAACCCCGCCCCAAGCTGGTTTAGAGCAGGAGAATAGAAAGCAACTCAGTGATGCTCCTCACTATCAGTTGCCGGAGTGCTTCTGGTTCAGGGGTGCTTTATTTTTCCATTGTTTTCTTCTTCTTCTTCTTCTTCTTCTTCTTTTCTTCTTCTTCTGCTTAGTATTCTTCTCCTTCTCCTTCTTCTTCTTCTCTCTTGCTTTCGCTGTCCTCGCCTAGCATTCTGGTGGCGTTCTCTTCTGTGTGTTCCTTCCTCCCTTACTTTACTCACGACTTCCTTAACCTTATTTAGTATTTCGGGAAAGATGCAATGTGTTAATTATGTGAATCCAACAAACATCATCAGTGAAGCCCCAACCAACACTCCAGAGTAAACAGCTAGCAATACTTCCACAGCCCAAGAAAAGGCATTGAGATACAGAGAATCCTGTGATCTCCACCCTGCAAACCTCTCCTTGTCGCATTCTCGAGGGGTTGATTAGCGAGCGGGCACCAGTGAACCTCAATGATTCCTTCTCCAGGTCTCCTAGGAGATATCCTGCCCAGGATCAGCTTCCCACTTGGACATCCAGCCCACATGAGTGGTTGCAGTACCCACCATGGCCGTCCTACCCTGTACTCCAAGCTTGAGCCCTGACGGGAGTTGAGTGGCCACTTTTACCCTGGGTTAGGAACCACTTGGGCCGAAGTCACCCAAAGCCCATGGCTTCAGCAAACCCCGGCCTCGCCTCCGGCAAGAGCAAGTCCGGCGCCACCAAGGAGACGCCCCAGCCCGGGCGCCGCTGGAGCTGCGAGATCCGGATCTCCTGGGATCTGAGTCTGAAGAACTTCGGGGCAGTTCAACAGGCTTGGAACCCATGCCGAACATTGCGGGGGAAGGATAGTTGAGCCCTGACGGGAGTTGAGTGGCTTATATACCCTGGGTTTGGCCGACACGGCTGGAACCAGACAAAGGACACCACTTGCAACGGGAAGATCCGAAGATCTGGGACATGGAGCCCTGCCTCGGAGCCCCCGAAGCGGATCCCCGATGTTGGGGTCGACGTTTCCTGTTGCATTTCTACCAAACATGAGAACCAGCACTGGACGGGGAACGTCCGCAGGGCCACTTGAAGATTGAAAAGACATGTTGGAAGAGATGCGAGGACTAGAAAGGGAGGTACCCACAACAAAAAGTAAACTCAAGCAAAAACCAGGAAGCACGCAACTCAAACCAATCAAAGAGCCTATAAAAATAACGTCATTCTCCCAGCAGAAACAACGGAAACATGATGCTCAGAGAAGCAAAGCAGCGAGGCAAATCAGCAAAAAGGGGTCATTCAGTTTGGGGCCACCCACGATCAACCGCTGTTGGGCGGGGTCAAAAAGCAGCTCCCACTTCACTATCCTGTCAAACATAGGAACTCCGGGGCGTCATCCCCAAAGAAACCATAGACTACCAGGGCTCGAGGGTCTGTCGCTGAAAGCCTCAAACTGTAGACCCCTTTTTCCCTTTACAGGCGAGAAACGCTGGCCCCTCCCGCCCCTCGGCTTCCTGGTTGGTCCGGGCAGAGCCCAAACCTCCCAGCACCACCACCGCGCACTGCACGCCCGAGCCCGCGCACGGCTCGGGCCCCGCGCCGGCCAGCAGTGCGCAGCTCCGCAGCACTGCGCCCACCTATGGCCGGATCACCGGCGATCTGGGATTGCTATTGGGGTTACTTGTTGAATGAGCCGTCGAATGCGGAAAGCTCATGATTGTCCGTGCAAGCAATCGGAACTCGGTTTCTCGGACCTGATTAGGGGACCGGAGCTATGATTCACGAATTGGGAATCTGGAAGTCTCAACCTTTTATCATGGGGGAGCCCGTCTTACCCCCCAGTGAGCACCTGCTTCTGGCTCAATAGCTCTGGCATGGTGAAGTTCTCCCAGCCTAACACAAAAAAAAGAGGGAGCCATCCGGTGCCCATGCTTACGCAACGGGCATTGCTTGGAAAAGCAGACCAAGACCGACCCAACTCACAACCACAAGAAGAAAGGCCAAGCCGGAGTGGTCTAAACCAAACCACCCAAGACATTGAACCCAAGCAAGTCGCCAACATCCGCCTCAGAGAGGCCCACCAAATCAGATGGAACCAAACCAAAGATCGGTCTCACAGGTTTGCCACAAACCACAGGGGCAAAACGGTCCGATCCGCTGCCTGCCCGGGCTGGGGCTTGTCCAGCACCACCAAGCACTGCCGCTCGCATGGCTCCAGCAACTCCTGCATCACTGGGTTGCTCTGTGACGCCCTCCAAAATTTAAACTGTTTGATGATTAGGTTCACTATTACAAGCGAAAAAAAAAAAAAAAAAAAAAAAAAAAAAAAAAAAACCTAAAAAAAAAAACATTTCAAAGGTGAAAGGTTGTAGTAAAGATCTAACCTTGCACACCCCAAATGGGCTTACCAAAATCAGTGGTTGTAGATGAACTACAAAGGGCTTGTCCACGTACCATCTAGGGTACATACCCCAAAAGCCATCCGCATGTATGGCTTGCAGGTCGGGTATGTCCATTCGGGCCATGTAGGCAAGACCTTAGATGGTGGCCGACTCGCAGAAAAGGCCCTTTCTAGCGACCACGGGCAAAAAAGGCACAACTCTGGGGGTGTGCATTGCTGGGGTGGGGAACCAACTGCGCGAATGGCAACAGAACATTCCAAAGTAAAATACATGTCTAGTTGTGAAAGTTCAGACCAATATACTATATCTATGTTCAGTCTTTATATGTATTTATGTTCAGGTTCACCAAACGATTCGCTGCACAGCTTGCTTGCTTGCCGACCAAGATTGGCGCAACCTGGTTTACTTGTTGGACAATTGCAGCGGGCATGTAAGGGATTGGAAACAGACCACGATAGGTCTTGGCCCATCTCTTGCATGCAATCGGTGCGCAGCTGCAAACTGCAGGCACGGTGGTGGGCGGAGTTTTTTTTGTCAATTTGCAAGAACGCAGTTCTTGCTTCTGCATGACCCACGGTTCTTTGCTTGCTCTTCGGAAGTTGCACCAAACTGCCTCATTTCAATTTGCCCTCTTGGTTCCTGTCATTTGCGTCTTTCAAAAAGAAATCATGGCTGATGTGATTTTCTGGCGGCTCACGGGGCCACTCCGCCCCCGCCTCCCAGCTACGGTTGAAGAGGCTCCGGAAGTAGGCGCGCTTCGAGCCGCTCTGCGGCGCCTGCAGCCCCAGAGCTCAGGGCGGCTCAGGGCGGTGCCGGTGCTCTAAACGGAGGGCTGGAGTGCAAAGGCTCTCCCGAAACTCTCCTGCCACATGTGTAGCCAAGACAGCCAAAAGATGTGTTTGCCATCTGCTTAGGGGACACCAGCTTTCTCTCTTTCGAACTACCTGCCAAAAGTTTCAAGTTCAATCTGTCAGCCAAAGGTCAAGCCACAAGCCAAATCTTCCTTAGCACTTTCCCAAAAGCCTGGCTGCGCCCCAGTCCAATATGTTTCTTCCTAGATCAACAGAAGGAAGCCGCCTCTAGGTTCGATGCCACGTGTAAGAACGGGACTGGCTCTAGACAGTACGTTCTTCGAGTGCGCAACACGTGGCGAACTCCCTTGACGTTTCATCTCCTTCTATACCCTCCCCCCGGCGATCCCATGGAAGCTCCCAGAACCACGTTGATGGTTGCATTTGCAATGGCCTCTTGGGGGCTTCCATGCTCTGAGGGAAACCTGCCACTTCCTCCCACGCCTGGATGCGCGGAGGCGCAGCGCACCGTCGCAGCGCACGGAGCCGCGAGGAAAGGCCGCGGTGCGCCGCGAAATCGCGAGCGGGGGAGAGAAGCAGGGCCAGTGCCGGCAGCAGACAGCAGGCTCTCTGCCATTGCATGGGGGGACTTTGCCCCCAATCTTCCACACCCGAAACCCCCCTCTTTGGAGAGGAAGCCTATCAACAGATGTCGTGCTTGTGAATTTTTTTTGCGGAATTCACTGACGCTTTCGGGTTGGGGTAGCTCTTCAAGGAGATGACTACCATCATCTTTGGCGCCTGAAGTGAGTCCCTTCCTACATATACGGGTTGGTGACACAACTGTATCAGGTACAACTCTGGCCAGTTGTCTTTGACTTGGGTCTTTCCAAACGGCGAATTATGGGCAAGTGGCTGCAAGTCCCAAGTCTTCCTAGCAGAACCATTCTGGCGCGATGTGTATGGAGCTGACAGCCTCGGCACGGCTTTGAGGATTCCACAGAGCAACCGAACGTGAGACCCATCACCCCCCCCCAACACGAAAGTTACCTCAAGAAACAAAACGGATGGTAAAGGCTGGGGTCACCGCAGCAGCTTTGGGTTGGAAAAATCACCAATTAAGTTGTATGCCGACAAGGCGCCAGCTCTAAGAGACCTCAATTGCCCACTGGACGGTGTCCTTGGCAAAAAAAGAGAGGGGGAAACAAGGCCCAGTCGTGTTCTAAAATGAGCTGCTTGGCACCCTTCGAGTAACGTTCCAGATGCAAGCGATGGGCCAAGCAACCGCAGGAAGTTCCAGACTTCCGTGTTTGTATATGCAGGGGTATGTACATATGTACATGTATATACATAAACCATGCATATATATATATATATGTCGATATATGTATACATATACATGTATATATATATATATATATACATACACATATGCACGCAGATATACATTTGTGTATGTGCCTTACGACACCAACTTGCAGCGAGCCGCTCTTGGGCCGCATGTACTTCTTGAGCAGCACCGACAGCCGGGCGATGCGCAGGGAGTCCACCTTTCGAGCCAGATCCGCTTCCCACACCAAGACACCCCGGAAGGAGTCGATTTCCCGGTAAATACCGTAAGACCAGGGTTCGAAACCAAAAGGCGTGTGAATTCCGGAATCAACAAAAATCATTCTCTTGAGCTTCTTAGGTGCTGCGAAATGGAGGTCGTACATCCACAGTAGGTGTCCTGTTTGGGAGAGAAATAGATGCGCCCTGGATGAACACTTTCTGGGAGTCTAGATGGATAATGAACCTTTCGGTCAACCAGGACTCGCCATCTATGTTCCACCACAACCAAAAAGGAATCATAGGCACTTGCTCCACTTAAACCCAGGAGTTCCCTTTTAGCCCTTTTTTGGGGTAATGAACCAACCCGGTTTAAGTCTACCCTGGGGTAGTCACAAAGTGGAACCCTGACCATAGGTGTCTCTTTTTGAGTCTGAAACCTGGTCAACCGGGGCCATCGATTTTCTACCAAAACTGCAAAAAGGCCACCTATGTATACAACCAGGGGTCTTCTTGTGGATGGACAAATCCACTACGCACAAGTTGGGATAGGTGAATTGTCAACCATTTTTTATGGGTTTTCATCTACCCCAGGTGGTGCGAAGTGGATTTCGTCCACCCACAGTATGGTCCGTTTCTCCTTTTTGGATTAAGCCAGCTGTGCATGGCTGTGTCTCGTGGCGGCATAGATATCCCCAATGAAGGAGCCCCTTTCGGATTCCTCAGGGTGCTTAGGGTTCCTTAGGGTTCCTTAGAGCTTCTTTTAGAGGTCTATAAGCTTTGGTAGTGCTATCTTCCAAACGAAGATTGTTCTAGCCAGTTCTAGCAGTTGGGAAAATGTCTCGAAACTTGGACCTGCTGAATAGTTCTCTGGCTTCATCTGAGGTGTCCATTTTTGGGACGCCCCCCAATGGTGGCGACTCATTCCAACAATCTTAGCAACATGTTTTCACCCAAAGCCGCTTCCTTGCACTGGCCAACCTGCCTGCTAGGCTGATGACTGCTTCTCTGGGGCTCGACCCGGGGGTTGCATGAGGCAGAACGTGTCTAGTTGGTGCCATGTTGTAAAGAACCCCATGCTTTAAATAAACTGGTGACCCCTACGTGGGTTCTAAATTCCTTTCGGACGCTACATGATTTGTGCTTGGGTACAAGAACATGCTTGGCCCCTAACTAAGCTAATCACGAGTATCTGTAGCAAATGGCCTCAATGTTGCAAATAGGGCATGCTTCTCCAGCTCCTCGCGCATCCTTGATTTCCTTGGGATAGGGTGTATCTTTTGTCGGACATATTCTTGGGGATGAACTCCTGCGGGTCACTTTGAGGGAAACCTTTTGGCTTGGGAGCGACAAAAGGCTTCATTCCTTTCATGGGGTTCACCCCCGCTTCACAATTCGGCAAGCTCATCTCATTGGGCCTGGTTTCTTGCGGATTTTTCTCAATGGCCAACCAGCCCGAGGCGCACTGCGGAAGTCCACGCCCGCCTGACGCGAAAGAAAGAAAAACCAAGCGCCCGCTGGTTTAAAATGGGCCCATGTCAATATGGGTGTGTGGCAAAATAGGGTTGTGGACACAAAAAACAGTGGCGCCGTTTTGGCTTCCCTTCGAACCAACCTGTGAAAGCTATCCCAAAAAATACACAAGCATCAAATGTAATTCTCAACTGGAAAAAAGGGAACAGACTCGCCCCTGTCCGAGCTATTCCTTTTGGCTTTTCCCGCACGTCTGATGCTGGTGAAAAGTGGGCAATCTGCGTGAGTCACGGATGAGACTCCTTGTTGCCCAACATCTTGGGCCCAATGAGAGAACCCTCAGATTATCTGCAGATTCCCCTTGGGGTCAAAGAACATATCCTTGTTGAAAGAGGCACGCTCAAACCCACTGGCACTCATTGGGAGGGTACCGTCATGGACTCATCGCCGTTCCCCACATTCAAGAGATCTTGCTCGAAAATCTGACCGCAGTGGGACCACAGGCCCCATACCTCTTGCCCGAGACTGATGGGCCCGGTCTGAGGATGGTGCTTGATCTGTGGGTTGGTCTCAAAGGGGAACTCCAAAAGAGGGGGCCCGGAATGGGGGGGGGAGCCCGGTTCGACTCTTTGAATCCCTTTCCCAATCGTCCAAAACACAAGTCCCCTCAAAATCGCGACACGCCCACATGAGCCACAGCATAAACAAAACAGTGGGAATGCCCTGATTTTGTAGTGGAAAATCGGTGTCATGTCCCTACCAAACTCATAGACGATATGTTTGATCCGTTCATGTGTCACACCCCGCCTGGCGCGCTAATTGCTGCGCCAGCTGCTGCGCCCCCGTTGCCGCGGCCAGAACTCGTGGTGCCTGACGTTTTGGGAATCGGGTGCCTATAAACTTCCATGGGTCGTCTACAGAGTCTACACGTAGGAAGTGGAGACTTCTCCCTAGACTGAAACCTTCTCAAAACAAGGCAAAAACAGTGGGAACTTCCAATGCCGATACCCAATTCGACACGGAGAAAGGCAGGTCTACCACAGCTTCTGGCTCCAAGAAACATGACACTTGTAGAATCTATTGGCCGTCTTGTTCGTGAACCTTGCCGTGGAAAACCATATCATTTGAGAGGTCCCGGTTGTTCAGGGTCCCTCCCTCCAAAACAAGGGAGCCTCGCCCTGTTCGCCAAGGCTATGAGAGAGTCCCTCTGCACTGAGTGGATCTTACCAAGCGAATAATCTAGCTGTGCTCAGGTTTGGAAACCCGCAAGGAAACCACTCCCTTGCTTTGGAGTCCCCGATTTGAGACAAATTGGAGGAATGCACTAGCTTCACGACACGAGCAAATGAATCTACCAACACTGCAGAACAAAAAGGCCTTCAAAGTGAAACGTGTGAGATTGTATGAGTTGGACATGCATACCTTGGTCTCAGACTCCTTACCCTCTCCTGTCTCGTTCTACCTGCCGTTTTCTTCAATCTCTATATCATGTGTCCTAGACTTCCTGAAGTCTTCTGTTTTTCCCTGGCAGAATCATGAGCCCAAACACACTGTTCACCTTCCATCTCGGTGAACTCGCCAGCCTGATCACCCGAGACGCGGAAACTGCGAGGCCAATCGAATGCGTCGAGAGCCCTCCCGGGACTCGCCTCCTGCATGCTGGTAGGGTCCTGGAGAAGCTGCGAGGGCAACGAGCAAACCCCCTTAAAGTGTCAGTTCAAGCGTGCGGCATGAGTCTGACTGCCCCGAGCACAAGGAAAGCCCGTCTCGGTAAGCCAGGCTTAACGATGATCATTCCCTTTCTGGGTTTCGTAACCCGCAGGAAGGAGTGTGGACTGCATCTTTTTGAGGGTGCCAGTTTGCCTGCATTCTGAGGAGCGTTACCGAAAACGGACACGCAATATAATGCCACGCTTTCCAGGACTTCGGTTGCCAATTAAAATTAATATAAAAAAGCGTCAGTTGGGCGACCTACTGCAAACAAGGCTCGATAAGCGGACGCAAAAAGGCTCCTGGATCCAACACTCTCCTCTTCAGCAGGGACTTAGCTCATTGACAGCTGTCTAGACCTTGCAAGGATCCCAAAGGAGAAACCAAAGGAGTCAAACATTCCCGTGTCAAAGCAGGCGTTGACCAGTGGTCGCGTGCCTCCCTTGCAGTGCCAGATTTGTTGACCCATCACCAAAGCGCAAACATCTCAACAGGTGACCAATTTCACTGGGTGATCAAAAACGCGCAACATCTGGTTGCCTCTCGCTTCAGAGACGGTTGCTTTTGGTGCCAGCCCTGTTGAACCTGCCAAGCCAAGTCCCTTTGTCGCAAAGATTTCCGCGCGAGAACACCAAACCCGTTTTGACGCTTACCGCCATGTTGAGACGAAGCCCAACTATTCTCCAGCGTGCTTGCGTGTCAATGCCATCCATGTTCAACCAAAATGACCTGCCCTTCTCCAACAATCAATGGGACCATGTCGGGTTCCGAAAGACAGTCCCTCGCCCACTTCCATTGGAAACAGAGGGTAGGTCTGAGGATCGGCTTCGGCAAATCCGCCTGCGGCACGTAGTCCGTCTCCACCCAGATCCGCTTCCGCCACATGCCGCCGCTCACGCGCTGCATCTGCGCAAAAGCGCCCTTATAGCCAGCGCCCACCTCGAAGCTTGGAGCGGAGGGGTTGCGCAACCCCAGTCAGTCGGGCCAAATCCATCGTCAGGGTAGCAAGTTGGCTCCAAGACAACAAAAGGAACCCGTTGACCAAGTTCCGACCAGGCAATTTGGGCATTTTGAGGTTCAGAGCAACTGTGAGATCGTGGTTGTTAAGAGGAATCACCCAAAACGAACTTCCAAAGGACCCTACTAGGAGTGCCGCACTAACATAGGGCTTTGCTTGACGCCGAGATGGTGTGTGACGGTTGTGAAATCTCCCTATGCTCCGCTATATTTTGATGCTCCCCGGCAACAATCAATAAGCCTGTATTAAATAAAGCGCTGGCTGATTCTTGGGGAGCGGGGTGGGAATCCGTCGTGAAGAAAGCATGGTGGCGAATCGCTGCCGAAGCTGGGGTTGCGCCCTTTCTGAGCCGTGCACGTGCAGCAACTCCATGGAAGGCTGGTGCAAACTACAAATGAGGAAGCGAAGGATGCGTTGACTTTCACTCTCAAAGGAGGTTTAGTGATCTTGGGCGACCCAAAGCATCATGGGATGCGAACATATTTCAGCAGCCCAAACAGCACCTCGAGAATTTGACTTCGTCCCATCTACCCTCTACAAGGTGCAGGGGCTCAAATCCAAATCCAAAAACAAAAGCAAGGATGAAATGCAAGCAGCCAAAAGGAGTTTCCTCTCCCAAATCAAATCACCATCCAAAAGGGGCTTCCCCCCCGAAAGAAACAAGAAAGGAACAACCCTTCGGGCATGACGGGTGGCCTGGTTCCCACTCCAAACCACCAACGTAAGGTGTGTTTCTGCAAGACAAACTGTTTGCGCGCCATCTGGCAGGTCTTTGACTACAGGCGTCCCAACCACCGGCCCCCTTCTATCAAAATCAAGAATTCAACCCATGCTTCGAAGACAGGAGAGGTCAAGGCCGAGTGTTGAAAGGCCTCTTTGATTTATATTTCTTATTAAAATGCATATTGGGATTGGAAGACGAGTCATCTCAAGTCAGTTGAAGCGTGGTGAAGGAGCTCCGACTTTCGAAGGAGTTGAACTTCTACAATGTCACAACGTTCGTTAGCACCCGTAAAAACTATACATGCATCTCTATATATGGGTGCGTCTTAAAATAGGGGGACGCTCCAAAAACAGCGGCTTTCCTTTGGTTTCCCTTGAAAACTACGAACAAAATAGGTACGCTCGGAAAACAGACACCCCCACATGGCTGTGGGTCAAAATCCCGTACCCCCAGTGAACATCCTAATCCCAACTAAAATAGGTTCAAAAATGGGTGGTGAATTCACCTACCCCAAAATGGGATACCATTGGTTTTGACCCACAGCCACATCTGTCTCACTCCAATCAATCCACCCCAGACCGCTCCGATCGCGCCTGGTCCCGAGCGCAGGGGCTCGGAGCTTCTGGCAGATGGCGCCAGGAAAAGTCCTGGCAGAAACGCCGCACCTTTACAACTCTTGGTATGGTAGCCCCTACCGAAAATGCACCAAACCAAAAAAACAAACCACAAAACTCGCCAACGACCGTGAAGCCGTTGCGACGCAAATCACTCCTGGTGTCTGACAAACATGAGATTGTTGCACAAACTTCTTCAAAGCCCCTGAGCGATTCACCGGGAACCCCCACAAAATACATCTAGCGAGGAGATTTCTACAAGCGAGCGGGGGTTGAAGTTGAATGTTCCTATTCCGAGGAGTAAATCTGCACCGAGATCCAACAGCACTGAGCCCCTGAAACGCGGGGCCCTTCTTTAGCGAAGGAGAAAGCAAACCACAAACTAAGGGCCAAAACTTGTGAGGCACACCTGTCTCTGTCAGAATCCCGCATGTTCAAAACGCTTGGCAACAACGCAATCCTCAGGTGGCACGTTCGTTCGCTGGTGGATATTATCCGGTGTAGCCAGGCTAGTAGTGGGCATCCGTCAGGTCTTGCCGGTGCGGGTGATGTTCATTATGTCATGGCAAGCCTGAAAGCTCAGTGCTGACAATGCTGGTGCCGCAGGTGATGCGATTCGCATTGGCAATGCGAATGTTGAAATCTGATGCTGTTGCAGAACAAGACGCGGCTGATGCAAATAGTGCAAGGAGGCAGCAATGGATGAGATTTTCTGATCTGGGGCAATGGGTCCGGGAGACGCGTGTTGAAATGGTTCCAATGGTTCCGTTCCGATCGACCACGCCGCAAGTTCGGGGCTCTTGGCGGCTTTTGGCGGACTTTCATCCTTCGCCGACGCCGTTGCGAACGGAAAGCCGCCAAATGCCTCAAATTCGGAGCTTTTCCCCAAATGAATGCGAGTAACGGACCCATTTTCCGGCGACCGCTTGTAGGCAACCCAGATTTCTTGGAGTTGTTGTAAGAGAGTCGCTTTTTAATCAAGGAGGTGGCTTAAGGTAGACTTCGGGTGGGTGTAGCATGGTTTTCTGGCTTGAGGTTTGGCAGAGTTCGATTTCCCCGTTTCGACGAATCTGACCTCGCTTCGATCCGAGGGAACAAGAAAGGCGCGTCCTTGAACTGGTCCTGAACGATGCTGGGCAGCGCAAGAGCAAACAGGACTGGGAAGCATGCCTCGGGTGAGCCGCAACCCTCGTCCCAAAAAAAAATATCTCACCGCAAGGAAACAAACATGAACAACTTGAGACAATCATGGCAAACGAGAAATGGCAGCGCACAGGAGCAAGCAAATTCAAGCTTTCATGTAGCTGGAATCACAGGCACACTTTTGGGGGGCGTCCATAATTTCGGGAAGATTCATCCACTGCTGTCTTTGTTTGTAAACCATGTACCATGTACGCTTCTCAAAAATACATGTATCGTATGGCCTTTATGGATCTGCCCAGCCCCGGGCTACAGGGAACTGTATATATAAACAACATCCAGTGAGTGGTTTCACATTGACCCTGTTGTAATTCCCCCCTTCAAAAGGCCACATCAAATCAAAAGATCCAAGAGGTCGTGTCAAAGCGGCAAGAACAAAACTCCGATGGTCAGTTTCATGGTTTGACGGGTCCCTCTCCCAAACCGGCCCCCTTCGGAAAAGCGACACGACTCGTCGCCCCTTCTCTCCCCCAAAAACCACGGCGAACACAGGGCGAGGGGCCATGTAGCGCGCCGACTCGCAGGCGCTGGCTGCAAAGCTCCAGAGCTTCTGTGGCCAGCCTTCTTTTGTCGTGAGCCTAAAGCCAAGGACTCCGCGAAACCCCGGAGCAAATTGGTGGGGCCTGGAAAGGAAACCACCATGTGGGCGGCTCGTTTTTTTGGGGGGCTCCCCCGAAAATGACGCAACGGGGCTCCCTTTTGGTGTCACTTGAACATCACCAAAAGAGGAGGGCCCAAAAAAAGACATACCCATGTGGCAAACGGGGTGTATCAGCGCTCCTCAGACCCTGTCAAGCTAGACAGTGGTCCCCATTGACAAAAGCACCCAGCATCATTTGTTTTACTCGTGTGGTCATGCTGAGATTCAGGACAACCTTGGTTATCCTCGCAGAGAAGTCAAAGGGAGTCCCTTGAAGAGGGTTCTGTTTTTAGAGAAGGCAACCATGGTGTACTCTCTCTTAGAGAGCTTTGCAGGGACCAGGGACCCTTGAAGACGAGGTTTACGTGTTTAGGCGGAACCCAGGAAATGTTGCATGTCCTTCCTGTCTGCGATCCCGTTTCGTTTGGTGGTTGATTCCCATCCCCATGACCATCCCTATGACGATTGAATGTGACTTTAAAGGCGATTCCCTCAGCACCGTAGAAGTGGCCAAAAAAGTCAGCTATGAAGGGAACTCGTTTAATCTCTTCTTCCCAATAATAAAGGCCTCCCCGATACTTAAAAACATTGTCCGAAACTCCAAACACAGAGTCGTATTATTCTTGGGGGCTTTCAGAGCAAACAAAAACACCACTAAACCCATCAAATCCAAAATCATGTCAACCAATCAAATCCAAAATGATGTCCCCGATTTCTGTTGTCTAAATTCTGGCAAGCTCGAGAGTTTCGCCGGTTTGAGCCCCGATTTGTGGTAGCCCGGAAAAAGGGGGAGCGCCGAAGCCCCAAACAGAAACAGGTGTTTTCTGGTATAACCGACTTCTTAATTAGGTGGAACCCCCTTTTATTTGGGGGGAAAGGGGTTTAACGGGGGGTTCCATATACATCTTTCGGGGGATCCTGTTGTTCCCAAACTGTTTGACGACCCGACCAGGGTGAGGCCCAAAAGAAAGGATCTTCCGAAAAAGCCAGTTGTTCGTAGGGAGGATGATATTGAAACGGTTGGCCCATGTGTCGTGCGACCGTTCCAGGAACGGCAATGGTTCTTGCCATAGCAATTGGTGTGGCTGGTACACATGGCAAATGGCGCGTGAGATACATGGTGTAAATGACACGTGATCAAGGGACTCCCGTGAAAGCACGCTGGGTCTTCGGAAAGTATTGCGGCTGTAGCTTCGGAAGGGGGCCTAGGCAAAATCAACCTGGCAGGATCTCAAAAAGAAAGGCCTTGCTTTCCTTTCTAGGGACCGTCCAAAGGAGACCCAAAATTTGAGTAAACACTTGTTTCATGTTTATTCCCTGCCCAAAAGGTAAGTATCAGAAGCTTCTTTGGTCGAATCCAGACCTCTTCTCCCAGGCCCCTACCAACTCATCAAGGAATTTGGGGATCGACCGGCCCGCTTGCCCCCACCCCGCACGCCAATACTCTTGACTGCCCAAACAAATGCAAAATTCCGAATATATATTCCTCATATATGAGATACCGTATCTCCATATATATATATACATATGTATATATAAGCATATGTTCTAAAGTATCTGCATGCATGTCTCTCGCCCCCATGGAAAAACAAACCTTTTGTTTGCCCCTCGGATACGTTTGTCCCTGCCTCCGGTTGCAGGTGTACAGCACCCAAAGCCCGAGGGAGTAGAGCCAAGTAACCTCCTGTTTCCAAGGCCGTACGAACGTGCACGCCGGGTTGTAATGTGAGGGGCCAAGCAATTACACACAATTCGGCCCCTTTTGCTACCTGCTGCCTCCCGCCCCCTTTTCAGGAGAATGCTGGGACGGTCTCAAAGAGAGCGTCTGGGGAGCTTTGGACGCACCGTTTCGGCGATGTATTCAAAATTGCTACCAAGATCTGGGAGGGTTCCAGTTTGAATAGTCGAAAAATGCAGGCTGCCACTGTGTCCCTTGCCATGGTCAGAATTTTGAGAATCCTGAAACGCATCAAGCGATGTGAGCACTACGGCCTATGAAACCAAAGTGTAAATTTGGAATGCAAACAAACGAGCATCCGAACAAGTGCACATCTGCTGCCAAGTGTGACTTACATCATCACGGGCAAGTGTGACTTACAACATCAACACATGACAACAGCAGCAGAAGCAGCATCAGCAACACAACAAACCTGCGACGTACACACGTTTACACTTACACTTGCATTCACCAACGCGCAGCGACAAAAAAAAACACAATAACTTGCCATTCACCAGCAAGCGGCAAGCCACAAGCAAAAACCAAGAACCAACAACGGAGAACCGCTAACCAACAATAATCAATAACCAACAACCAATAACCAACAACCGCCAACAAACAACACGACGACGACAACGACCGCCGCCACTACCACCGCGACCACCACAACAACAACCACAACCACAACCACAACAACAACCACAACAACAACAACAACAACAACAACAACAACAACAACAACAACAACAACAACAACAACAACAACAACAACAACAACAACAACAACAACAACAACAACAACAACAACAACAACAACAACAACAACAACAACAACAACAACAACAACAACAACAACAACAACAACAACAACAACAACAACAACAACAACAACAACAACAACAACAAACACGACAACGACAACAACAGCAACAACAACAACAACACAACAACAACAACAACAACAACAACAACAACAACAACAACAACAACAACAACAACAACAACAACAACAACAACAACAACAACAACAACAACAACAACAACAACAACAACAACAACAACAACAACAAAAAGGAAAAGAACGACAACAACCACAACAACAACAACAACAACAGCCACAACCACAACCACCACAACCACAACCACAACCACAACAACCACAACAACCACAACAACCACAACAACCACAACAACCACAACAACCACAACAACCACAACAACCACAACAACCACAACAACCACAGCCACAGCCACAGCCACAGCCACAGCAACAACATCGGCAGAAAGCAGAAAGCAGAAAGCAGAAACCAGAAAACAGAAAACAGCTGCGGAAGGAAGAGCAACATCAAGAACAAGAACAAGAGGAAGAAAAAGTGAAACCACTAAAACAGGAACAAGAAAAAGAACAAGTAAAAACGAAGGAGGCGAAGAAGGATAGGAAGAAAGACACAAAGAAGAATGAAAGCAGAACAATAACAATAACAATCACAAGGAGAAGGAACACACACATAACAAGAACAAGAACACCTACTACGCTAACCCACCAACAAACCAACCAACAAACAGAATTAACAAGCAAGCCAGCCAGCAGGCAAACAAACAAACAAACAAAAATGGAACCAAGCAAGCAAGCAAGCAAGCAAGCAAGCAAGCAAGCAAGCAAGCAAGCAAGCAAGCAATCAGGAAACCAAACAAGCAAGGCAAGCAAGCAAACAAACAAACCAAGCAAACAAACACACAAACAAACAAGCAAACAAACAATGAGCAAACAAACAACAAGCAAACAAACAAGCAAACAAACAACAAAAAAACAAGCAAACAAACAACAACAACAACAACAACAAGACAAGCAAACAAACAAACAAACAAAAACACTGAATAAACTCATTTGCATTCCTGCCATAGCCAAGGAAAACTGGGAGTCTCGGGGCCTGCGGCAGGGCCCGCACCACCAGGGCCAAAGAGATGCAGAGCCGCAAGCTTCCAACCTGGCGAGACGCCCCCGAAACGGGGTCCCCTCGGATCGGATGGTGCCGGCGTGACTTGAGCGGACCCCAAGCAGATGGGAACCTGCTGGGTGGCTTGTCCATCAGAGATCACTTGACACCGGGCATGACAGAAAACCATTGCTCAAGTCCCCCGGGCTGAATTTTGGCGGCGCATGCTCTGCCCGGTGCCCAGTCCAAGCTTGAGTTTGGACCCGGCTGCGAAGGGAAGATCGAAGAAGATCATATGCGAACTACGGCAATCTGGCTGTGGGTCAAAAATAGGCGGCCAAAATGGCTTGCCCCTGTAAATGGAGACACGGACCAAAACCTGCGGTCCAATTCCTGGTGGTTTTAGTTTGACCCATACCCATATCAAGACCACTTCTCGTCAATCAGGGGTCACGGACCTGCTACGATCCCCTGCTTTGCCCAGAATCAGTTGCGCAAGCGGTTTTGTAAGGTCTCAAATGGCGGCCTGTTGTCATTTTTGGGCACCGTGGCAAAGCCCCTTTCACAGAGATGGACACCCAAAGCGGCAACCGGCGGTTTTGGTTCAATCCAGTTACAGCCAAGCGCAAGCTCCGCGCCTGGTCACGCAGCGCCTGCAGCCGTTCCAGCTCTTTGCTTTTTCCTTCGCATTTCCAAAGCGCCACCAGCGCCACCAGAACCGCCGACGCCAAGGACCTCTGAATCTGCCAAGCTGGGCTTGGCTTTGACTTTAGAGAGGCCTCACATTTCGAGTCCCTCCATTTTTGACCAGAAGGAAGGGTGCGAATTCCGGCAGGCTTGAAGCCCATCAAATTCAAGGCACTTCTGAAACCCAGGCCGCACTTCTGAAACCCAGCAGCCCCCATCAAACGGCCAAAAGGAAGGCTTGGGACATGCAGCCCTTCGCTCCCCCTACCCAAAAAAAAGCCGCCGGGGCTGGAAAAAAGGGCATAGCGGCTCGGCATGTTGTTGCCGCTAGATCAGACCCCAAAGAAGAACTATGAGGCTCCAGCGCCGTTTCTGGGCTTGGTTGCCCTTCCTTTACTCCTTCTTAAGGGCCAATTTTCGTGAGTTTACCAGTTGGGTGTGTTGCAAATATAGGGGACTTCCCAAAACTGGCTGGTTTCCCTTTGGTTGCCTTTATACCATCCCGAAGGAGCTCCGTATTTTGAGACAGATCCATTCTTTGCCTGGAACCAGAGCTTAATCTGCCCTGGTCTGGATGCAAGCAAGGCTGCAAGGCTTGTTTGCAAAGCTTCGTGTTGAAGAATAAATGGAAACATCGATTTGAAGCAGGAATCCTCTACTATGTTGCTTGAAGCGGGAATCCTTTGAGGGTTCGATTGGGAAAAGGTCGGAGGCCACCGGTGCAACTACCCCAGGGTGTGTCTTTGTTTAGAGCCCGGTACACTCCCTCGGGTTAACATGGAAGCTCCCAAAAGGCCTCTGTACATGGAACCAAGTCTGACAAGGGGTCCCGGAACCTTCCATGGCATCGTACCGAAAACGGCGACCCTCAAGACCAACCACGCTGTCCCACCCCGCTGTCCCAATGCCAGCGCTGTCCCTCCGAGCCGCACGGGGGAGGCGGCCAGCGCAAGCCCGGGCAGGCCCGCCAGCGGGCTCCAGGCACCCAGCTGCTTGGCTTGCGCCAAGGCGCCTCAGGCGACAGAACTGGAACTGCTCCGAAGGATCTTATCGCAGAATACATCGCATTCTGTGAGTAGTTATGAAAATATATGGATATTTATATGCTTATCTACTTGTATACAATCATATATGCATGTATAGAAATATATATAGACATTCTGGCATCGTCAATCATGCGTAACGAACGTGTAGGGACACCCATGTGATATATTTGTGCATATTCTTATAGGGCATCCTCAGGGTGTCCGATGGGTTACCCGATGGGATGTCCGGCGTGGCATGCTGAAATTCTGGGACCTCCCTTCTCTGCATGGCGTTTCAAGGGAAACCAAAAGGAAACTCATGTGTCAAGGGTCCCCCATTCTTGGAAACGCCCAAAGAACTCTATGTTTGACACCCCGCCCCTGCCTTCTTAGCGTCCCCTCTTTTAAGGCCAATCCTGCTTGGGATGCTCGACTTCGCCGGGCCGAGCCTTCTTTCTCGCTGGCCCGGGGGTGGAACCCACTGACCAGATGGGCCCAAGCTGAGTCGTCGTTTGCATTCTTGATGTCCAACGGTTTTTGAGGCGGTTCCCCCCATGCCATGGCAAATCCGGCTCCGGCACCGTAGCTCCAGGCAGCTAGCGCGAACTGCAGGACCTCAGCCGGACGAGAGACGCCCGAGGCTGGTGTGTTCCCAGGGCCACGTGCCATAAGGTTCCTACTACACAACAAGCAGATTCATCCAGGGGGTGGTTTTGGGGAGGCTCGGATTCAAGCAAAACCTGGTGGATACATTGGAGGGCGGCTTTTTGCAGAAGACATTTCTCTTGAATGAGAATGCACCCTCCCGTTAGTCAACATTTGTGGTACTCGTTTGCAGTATTCTCCGAGGGATGTTTGCAACATCCTTCACCCTTGGCATGCTTTGACCTCATGGCATTCAACGTCTTGCTTTCCGGTCGAAGGGGGAAGCGGGAAGCACAAAAGAGCAGGGAGCTCACACAGCCCCGAGATGACTCGGGCGTGTCTCCAAATGGGCGGGACACCAGAAAACTTGATTTCAGTTTGGTTTCCTTTGAAATAACCTCACAAAGCATACCCTCAAAAAGGGAGACAGAGAGAGAGAGAGAGGAGAGAGAGCGAGAGAGACGGAGAGAGACAGACAGATACGGACACAGACACAGACACACGGACGCACAGTCACGCAGACACGCAAACAAACAGACACACAGACAAACAGCCACACAGGCACACAGACACAGAGACATAGAGACACAGACACAGACACACTGCGACACAGAGACACAGAGGCACAAAGGCACAGAGGCACAGAGGCACAGAGACGCAGAGACACAGAGACTCAGACACACATTTGAAAGGGAGCATGTTTCCTCGGTATGCTGCTTCAAAAAGCATTTGCCCCCTTGCCTCTCAAACAGAGCCCTCTCCTCACGTGCTAGCCGCATGAGTGTGTATGTTCTGGGACCCTGTCTGGATGCTGTTGAAAAAAAAAGAGACGCCACCTGGAGGGACACCAAACTGGACTTTTGGGGATTATTCTATCAAGGAAGCCGACTCATTCAGACCTAACGAGGAAGCCCACCATATAGTCTCATTTTTGGGAGAAACTCCGCTTAGATCCAGGGGATCCATTCCCGTTCATGGTCCATGGTGGTTCGGGGAGGCAGTTCTTCTAAGACGAATGCCCGGTGGAAACATGTGATGGTCAAAAGACCCCTCTAGCTTGGGGTTGGTAGGGCTAGAAACACATGATGGGGTGTATGCCGGGGAGAGTAGAGGTCGTCTCGTCTCCTCAAAGGAATTACAGGCAACCATCGACTTCTTGTTCGTTGCTCCCTTGTGCCATGAGCAAAACTCCACAATCCTGTTTTGGATGGGTCGAGATTCATTTTGGTGTTCTTCCCCATAGTGGATTCATTGCAAAGGGGCTGGAGCAACCCTGTTCAATACTGCTGGTCCATGTTGGGACAAGATGCCAACTGATGAGGAGCCTGTCACTCCGGCACAAATACTCAAAGGAACACCCCAACCATTCTTCAAGCAGCTTGGGAACCCTCTGGCATAAATGCTCTAAGTTATCTAAGGCTACACCCCAACTCTACCTGAAATACTCATGACTAAATTCAAACAAGCTTGGAAACCCTACCTAGGAACAAACTCGGAATCCCCGCGTGTCCGTCCCGAGTTTCGTTCGTCCGAAAGGCGCCCTCCGGAGCAATGCCCAGCAATGCGAAGAGGAAGCTCTTGGGGTGGTACACGGCCTGAATTTCGCGGGTGCCTTTTTCACCATGCCTTGCAAAGAACGCGCAGGTTAAGAACAAAGACGGGAGATGAAAAAGAACACCAACCATGCCTTACAAACATTCAGCTATGGTTGAAGAGGTGGCCGAGTCAAACCTGTGTCCCGAATGCTTGGCATGAACACTCCTGCTTGCAGCTCACCCGTGCAACAAGTGCATTCTCGCCTAGATGCAAAATCCACCGAGTTCTCTGCATAGAGGCCCAGGAGACGCGAGGAAAACATGGAAGGCCTAGAATTTCTGCCTTGTAGGAGTTTAAAGCACCGTGGGCAGCCGTAACACTTGGAACTAGATGCATCAGAGGCAAAGCATGACAAAAGAGAGCTGAGAGAGCACCATCTTCTGTGCTAAATGAAGTGTACCCCAAAGGTTGCCCAGGTTGAGTCCAAAAAGCCAAATGATCCTGAACAAAGCGCACAAAATCAAGTATGAGACGCCAAGGTCAATGCAAGCAGCTGATCCGATAACTGCTGAGTACCCCGCAGCCGGGACAGAGAAAAGAACTACAGGCAGCACGAGGAGATCTGAATTGGAAGCCAGCCCCTCCAAGATCCCGAAATCAAGCGCCGGTTCTGAGAAGCGTCTCCTCGGTACACCATGTGATCCCTGAGGGAAAGGGGTGGGTTTAGAACCAACGGCACGAAGCAACAAGACTGACCAACTGGTTTTTCCTTGGGATTCCACTTGGAGGACGATGGACACTAGTGTAGGTTGGTTGTCCTAAGTCTTTCTTTCGTCATATTGGAGCCATGTCCCAATCAGGTGGGAGAGACTTACGGGTTGGCCCAGACATGGCTTCTCCGACCCTATCGGATTTACCATGCTACATGCGCTTTTCGCGATGGAGCTCATGGATCAGCTACGAATGAATATGGTTCATCTTGAAACGAGAGGGACACTGGATGGGCTGTGTGCCTCAACTGATTAACCATTCCCTGAGGGCTCAAGACTCACCAAAGAGCCTCAGCCCCGCTTCTACCGGCCTGCAGCAGGCGCAGAAGTGTTCGCGGCTGCACCACGCAGACTAGGAGAACCGGCCTGCGAATCGAAAATCCAGCCCGCCTACGGAAACCTCTTGTCAAACATCAGCAAACATCAAGATCTCGAGCAGACACATTTCTGTCAACTGAAAAGCGAACTGCAAGAAAGTTGTTTGGCTCGCACCCCTGCGATTCGAGGTGTTGTCTTGCAGGCCGTTTGCACATTCACCTGCTACGACCAAAGTTGTACCTAAATAATGCAACGTGCTCTAAACAGGAGGTTGGAGTAGGGCACATTCTCTTGCACCCGGCGTCCTCTTGCGCCTTTGAAATTCGAAGTGGCTGTGGAAAAACCGGCCAGGTCCAACAGTCAAAACTCATTGGGGCATGTGTGGTGTCTCCTTTGACACGATGAGAAAATGTTTGCGTATCTCCATCGCCCCAAGTTCATTTGTAGGAAAGCTAGTAGCCTATTGAATATGTTGACAAGCACCTCTCCCTCCTCCACAGCACACAGCATTTTGCGTTTTCTAGGTGTGGCAAATGGCCCTGGTTGCCGGATTCAATGAAAGTGCCCCCCTTTTACACTTCAGTCGCTCGCCCCTGACGGACCAAAGGACCTTCATCCCCGCCCCGCAAACGGGCGACGGATCGGTAACCTGCCTGGCGATCCGCCAGTACCAGGCGGCCTGGGAGACTGGGCGCATGAGTAAGAAGCCACCGCCCTGACTCGGCGCTTCCGTCCCTTGTTGCCCAAAAAAAGCGACTTGTTGCCACACCAGAAACGGTCCTTAAAGAAGATTTGATCGAGAGCAGTGAGCCCATGGAAGCCAGTTTGGCTCGGTGGGAATGCTGGATTTCGCAGGTCTAGCCAAAGGGCGGTCAAGTCATGTATGACTTGCGCCTTGTGAGCGGTTTCTACCAAGAGCTCTCGCCGCAACAATCCCAACCGTTGATCACCTTGAATCCATGACAGCTGATTCTTGTCTTCCGGGTAGAGCAATACATTACTTGGCTGGTGGTGTAATATTGTTGGTTGTGTGTGTGTGTTCTCTGGTAGAGTTGCGTTGGACCCTTTATTCTACATAGGTCCCTTCTTTGCTTCAAAAACTCCTCTCAGCAAAGAACCCTTTTCGGCTTAGCATGTCCTAGCTATGTTTTTTTGGGCATGAACTTTGGATTTGTCGTTGCGGAAGTCAGCATGTTCACCATTTGTCGGTGAAATGGTACTCGTGCAGAAAATTTATTGGCTCTCCCGTCCCCTCCGCTCCGCTTTTTGCCCTCAAAGCCTCTCCATTTGCGAACCAGAATGCAGGCTGAGGATCCATCACGAGTACACATGCAAACCCTGATCAAACAAACTGCTCTGCCCACCGTAAAAAACAACATGTCTCTCAAGGGCTCACGCTGACTTTGGCCATCCTCGCCTGTCCGCGTTTGCCTGTTCGCCTGTCTGTCTCTCTGTCTATGTCTTTGTCTCTGTCTATGTCTCTATCTGTCTCTTTTTTCTATGTCTCCATCTATGTCTATATCTGCTTCCATGTTTTCTTCGTCTCGTTTTGTTTTCTCGTTTTCTTGTTTTCTTCGTGTTGTTTTATGTTTCTCTGTTCTTCTCTGTTCTCCGTTTTCTCGTTTCGTTTCTTCCGTCGTCTTTGGTCCCCCCGCCCTCCCTTTCCGCCTGCGCGGCCTGCGCGTGGCGCAGCTGCCGGCGATGGGAGGCCTCCAGGTCGCTCTCCGCCAACCGCAGCTCCTGGACCAAACTCTTCTGCACCTTGCCTCGCAGGCGGGGGAGGAAGGCGGGAAATCGAAGCCACCCATGGTGGCTTCTTCTTCTTTTCCCACGAAAATGGTGGTTTCCTGTTGGTGCCCCAAAAAGACAAACATTAAAACAAAGAATGGCCCGAATCTTATTTGGAGAAACCGCCATGTATGGTTGGGACCATCCCTTACTGCGGTTTTGGGCGGAAAGGGCGTTGCCCAGGGAATCAAAAGGGTTCACGTAATCCACGAAGAACCCAAAGAACCCGGACTCACGACTCAGTGGACTGAAGCCGGTGACCAGGTTGAAGGACGTGATGATTGAAGTAGTAGTGGTGGAAGTGAAGGTTAAACAGTAAGTTGCAATAGATCACCTTAACCAAGCCCAGGCAAGTCCTGCCGCAGCACCACCTACCTCCTAGCACCAGCCCACCCCAGCGCCGAGAGTCCTTTCTCGGCGACGCAGCGAGATGCCGTGCTATGGCGAGTGCCGTGCTACCAAAACTAACCTGACGGGAGGTTAAACTTGAGCCAAACGGCCATTCGGCCGATTCGCTTATGATAGAACAACACGTGAACGAAACACACACCCCTCATCCGATATCTGGACGAGAGAAAGGATGCAAGACAGTTGAGTTCACGACGAAAGGAACCAACCAAAAATGCCAGTGTCACCTCAGAGGTGAGCCAAACGGCAGCCCAGTTAAAATCCCGCCACCACCCCGAATTAGCGGGGCGACAGGGTTATTTGACGAATGGGCCACGTGAGTGAACAAGGACATATTGGAGGAGCCAGACGAAGATTCCTCTCGTGCCGTTCATGTATTGTCATGGGACAGCAACACGCGGAGGGGGACCCTATCTGGATCACCGCGCCTCATAGCATGTCGCAATGTGGTTGGAGGTGGTACCGAGTTGGGAGGAAAAAGAAAGATATATAAAGATATGCTCCGAAACTGGTGAGAAAGTATCCGGCTACGGCCGGCCCGGCACTTCTAGTGCGGTCACAGCCTCACACAGGATCGTCAGGGGAACCGTCTCCAGCGCGCACGGCAGCGGTGCGGGAGGAGCACGAACAACGCCGGATCAGCGGTACAGGGCAATGGAGACCATCACCCCCAGCAGTGCCGCATGGGCGAGAAGAGGATCGGTGCGGTCGCCTTTTTCGGCGACACGTGCGCCATCCTCGCCCTTCTAAGGCGGATGCTGATTGCGGTACCTGCCTACCACCCAGAACCGGGTTCTTCCCGGTCCCTGAATGCGTCATCTCTCCGACGTCCACCGCGGTCACCTCGATCGCCTCCTCCATCCCGACGGCGATCCTTACCACCATCTCTACTGTGGTCGCCAGCCGGGGGTCGGCGAGGCGGAGGGGGATCTGATTGGTGACGTCGGTCATCCCTGCGCCGGTCTCTGTGGCGATCGCGACGGTCATCGGCGGGGCCATCACGTCCGCGGCGCTCATCTCGCCCCGGACCGCGCCTCTCGGAGGGCTCCTCACGGCGTGGAGGAGGTCGGCGATCATCGCGTCGGCCTCCGCGGGTATCCCTGCCACGATCATCCCTTTGTCGGGGCGGGCCAGGATCCTCGCGTCCACCTTTACCAGGTCGGTGTCTCCCTCGACCCTTCGCCTCACCCTTAGGGCCGCGACGATCCTCGCGAGCCCCAAGCGCGGTCCTTGATCGATCGTCATCTCGGTGGGGTCGCGACTCATCGGCCGCACGAGTGGTCCGAGGCACGCCCGGAGGAAGCTCCCATTCTTCGTCGTCGTCATCGCGTGGGTCATAGCCGCCACGGCCGCCCAAGGAACCAGTGGCATCCCGTGGTGGGGACGCAGGAGTTCCGGGACCGCCAGACCGAAGACGAACCCGGGGAGTCGCGTCCTCGCCGGTAAAAGGATGGGTGTAGAACCCCTTGGTCCTGCCCCTTCTCTCCCCTTCTTCCGCACCGCTTCTTGCGGGGACCGGGGATGGACGGGCAGGCTGGGCCATGCTCTTGGAGCTGGGTTGCCCGCCAGGCGGGATGTGAACGCTCCCCTGCCCTTTCTCGGGCGCGGGGACCCGACCACGAGATGTCCTCCTGGCCTTGGGTTGGTCGGTGTCAGCCTCCAGCTCGGACTCGGTGTCAGGGACACGAGTATTGACGGCCATGTCCTCTTCCTCAAACGGATCCCCAGCCGTTGTGACGCCCGCAGCAATAGGAACGGGGGGAGGAGGAGGAGGAACTGGCACAGCTCCGCCAGAACCGACGCCTGTGTGGGACACCACGGGGGTCTCCGGTTCTACCGGGACAGGCGGCGCGGGAGGAGCCGGGGGCGGTGGCGGAGGGGGAGGGATCTCCTCCTCATCTTCGCCCATGGGCTCGTCAAGGTCATCAGGCTTCTCATCGTCTTCGTGCGAAGATCCATCCGATCCCAGCTCATCCTCCGCTGATCCAGCAAAGTCGGGCTCTTCTTCGTCTTTCACGCCAGGGCCTGGTGTAAGGCGGATTCCGGGTCGATGGCGATCGCGGGGTCGGAAGCGGTATTTCCTGGGTGCAGGATCGGCCAGCTCCTGTTTGATGTCGTCCTGGGTTTGCGGACGGTCGGCCAAGCACGTGTCGTAGGCAACGGTGGACGTCCGGTAGATCAGCTCATCCATACTGCTGAGGTCGTTGAGCGTGTAGGCGTAGCCCTTCTTTACGCCTTCCCGTACCGCGTCCATAGCCTGCTTGAGACGCGCGGCGGGATCGAAGCCGGCCCTCCTCCGCATGGCTCGCATCACCCCACAGTGTTGTGCGAGCAGCTCCACCTGGGCCTTGAACGTCTCCCCGGACACATCGTTCGGGACTATCGGAGAAAGATGCCCGGATCTCAGCCCAATGATATGAGCTTCGACCATGTAGTATGACGTGTAAAAGCCGCAGCGGTTGGCGTTGAAGTTTGCGGTGGTTAGGCGTCTGCCCCACTCAGCCGCATACCCTTCATATTCCTCGAAGAAGTCGGGGACGGTGTTCCCGTTGAAAGCAAGACCCCTTACCAAGATCGCCTTTGCGACCCACTCTTCCACATTGTGGTCAACAGTGTCACGGTATTTGCCGTCAAGAACCTCGTCTCGGAGCGAGTCGTGGAGTTTCTGGAAAATGCCGTCCACGTCCTCTTTGTCGAGGTACATAGGAGGTCGCATCCCAGACATCAGCAAGGACCGGGCGTCAACGGCGGGACTCTGTGAGTAGAGGGCCATTCCGATGGCGTTGGCGTCTGCGTTGTTGCACAGAACGGGGACGACGCCCCCGTATTTCCCCAACCAGCTGGGAATCACCCCGTCAGTGCTGGCTATCGTGCAAGGGCCGCCGTCCGTGTCTCCGGTGGGCAGGACACCCTCGAAGGTAGCAGGCAGTGCACAGGTGAGCGCCGATCAGATGAGTCGTCATGCACCTATGGCATGGAACAGACAGCACCTCCCGGACATGCTCCGCCTTGGTGACCTGGTGAGTCTTCTCCATCTCGTCCCGACACTTCCTCGGGTTCTCACTCACGGAGCTGAGGAAGTTGGGCGGATAGCACCATGGCCTCAAGTAAATGATGGAGCAGTCCTCCTTGAAGTAGACGCATCTCCAGTACCCGATCGTGATGTTCTCGCGCGATGCAAAGGTACCCTGACGAGTAATATGCATGCCCCCATTTTCCATGGAGAAGAAACGTGCATCGAGGGCCATGACCACATAACGGGGATCGCTCCTCTGGCGTCGACCCGAGGTGTGCAGCTCCGTCACATTGCTGTCGGTGATGCGGTCGACAGTGTCGTTGGGGCATTCACCGTGATCACGGATGGGTTGGTACTCGTCCGGCCTGGAAGGGAGGAGCTCAATCATGGCTCGCCCACCCCGAATGATCGCTCCACGTTCTACGTAGAGCCGATACATCCGAAGTGGCACCACCTTGTAGAGTGTCTTGGGAACCGACTTAGAGGTGACAGGAAGACAAACAGGGCTCTCGTAGAGCAAGTATTGATATCGTTCACGAAATGCTCGGTAATCAGTGTCAGATCCGATCTCAAGCGACCTTACCGCCGCTATGCGGGCGGAACCAGGCAGCAAACGACGCTCCTTGTCGCGAATGACGGTGATGATGATCTCGAACATTCCCACCCCGTCTTCGAGGAAAGAAGACAGGAGGTACAACGAGAAGGCATCGTCGGACTCGATGCTGGTCCCGAAGTAGTGGCTCAGGTACTTCTTCAGTTGTATCACCGAAGTGACGTTCCCTTGCCCGCTGGCAGACGAGGCCTCCAATTCTGGGTCCTTGACCGCGCCTGCATTTCCAGGCTGCACGGCTGTTCCACGGAGCGCGTCGCGTATTTCCGCGCATGCTCTCCTGTAATAGTGCGAAGAGGCGCCCGCCCTACTCTCCACCTTCTGACGGATCTCGTCGGCGAAGTAATCCAGAAGCTCCGTGGGGGCGGGAACAATGGCCTGGATCATCAGGTCAGGGTCACTCCTGGTCGGGAGGATAGGTCCTGCTCTGGTTCTCACTCCCATCTCCAGGAATCGGGCAATATCCCCGACTTTAGCGCACAGAGTAGCGACCGTGTTTCCGATCCTGGGGGCGATATCTTCGCCTCTCCTGGCGCCAAGGATGACCACATTCTTCTTGATGGATTCTTCCTTCAGCTTCTCGAGGTTTCGCCGGGTGGCCTCAGTGCCCTTCACCGCGCTGAGGCGAAGAACAGCAGGCTCTGGCTTGTCCGGTCGCACGAGCTGGCCGTCGGGAATCTGGTCAAAGATACGCAAGGCGGATTTCACTGCTGGAACGTTCCTATACTGACCCGGCACGCTGTAAAAGGCGTAGGAGAGAGTGTCATGCGAAGATGTCTCCCAATACGTGTACTCCTCGGAATCACGCGGGTCGCCAACGACGCGACTCACGGCCCTCAGCTCGGCCAGAGCACGCTCCGCCTCGAACTGTGAGGTCATGGTCGTGGGCAGCATGGCCCTCTCCTCCTCCGTGCAGTCGACGTATATGAACTGGCCGGTATGCA